ATTCAAATATATATATATATATGTTTATATATATATACGTGTTTTACATATATTTTTTGTTATTGTGTATTGAATGTGTATTGAATAGTTATAATTATCGCCATGTAGATATTGTAGCATATATATATATATATATATATATATATATATATATATATATATATATGATATATACAATCGCGCCCATACATATATGTATAGTTAAACTTTTTTCATTGATATCATTCTTTATTAAATCTAATTACTTTTTGAATTTTTTTTTGTTGAAAGTCAAAATGAACCGAAAAACAAAATACAAACAAATCAACAAACAAATATTTTTACTATACGTAAAACATACAATCATAAAAGTTTTGCATGTTTGTCCTTGTTGGCAATATCAAACATCAAAATGTATACATGCATTCAAACATCCATCCATACAAATACAACATTACATATACAAACATACATACAAACAAACATACATCCAGCATCAGTTTTTGTTTGCTTCCTAGATTGATTGGCGTGTTATGTTGTTTAGATCGTTCCGATGTTTGTCTAATTATAGTTCTGTGTTTTCTTTCACTCTAGAACCAGCTCTGTGCTTATATTCAGAATTACGTTTCGTTTGTTTGCAAGTTTTTCTTTCATTGTATGTTTTTGCTGCTTACTTTGTATATGTATGCGTGAATGTTAAAATTTGACTGTCTGTTGTATACAAAAAACATTGTACCTACAAATCTAAATTTATGTATAATCCAACATTTTCCAAGACTGTATGTATGTATGTATGTATGTATGTATGTATGTATGTATGTATGTATGTATGTATGTATGTATGTATGTATGTATGTATGTATGTATGTATGTATGTATGTATGTATGTATGTATGTATGTATGTATGTATGTATGTATGTATGTATGTATGTATGTATGTATGTATGTATGTATGTATGTATGTATGTATGTATGTATGTATGTATGTATGTATGTATGTATGTATGTATGTATGTATGTATGTATGTATGTATGTATGTATGTATGTATGTATGTATGTATGTATGTATGTATGTATGTATGTATGTATGTATGTATGTATGTATGTATGTATGTATGTATGTATGTATGTATGTATGTATGTATGTATGTATGTATGTATGTATGTATGTATGTATGTATGTATATAAGTATGCATACGATTATACAGACTGTACTACATGGATGCTGACGTACGAGGAAAAATAAACAACCCGCCCTATACGTTTTATCTGCAGCCGATATTATATACGCATGGTTTTTGTTTATGTTTTCTTTCATGTGTGTGTGTGTGTGTGTGTGTTTGTGTGTGTTTGCATGCATTTGTTTGCGTGTTATGTGTGTCATTTTGTAGCATTCACACACGTAAACTTTTTAGAACATGTAATCACATACATACACACTTGCAAGTGTGTGTGCGTACACTCGCACGGATGTTTACATGTGAAGGTACGTACACAAACATGTTGAAAGTATACACCCATACTTTTTGAGTGTACATTCACATACACTTTAAACGTACAAACACATAAGTTTTGTGTGTACACGCACACACATACGTACGGATACTTTAGTGCACGCAACTTCCAACTGTACGCCGTGCACGAGCGAGTCAGTTGGATGGTGGTCATCAATAATTGATGCAACAACTACTTCCTGGAAAATAACACCTTGCAGGTTGCCTTTTTTAGTTTAGTTACTATTACGAAAGCAAGATTTTTGTTTTTAAATAATTTACTGTAGTTTGTTCTCTCTTTATTTTGTCTTTTTTTTTGCTTTTTTCCATTTTCTATTGCTTTCTGCTTTTCTCTTTCTTTCTCTCCCTCTCTCTCTCTCTCTCTTTCTCTCTCTATCTATCTATCTTTCTTTTGCTTTCTCTATCTCTCCATATTTAATTTGTTCGTATTTAGTCGCAACTAATTAAAAATGAAAAATTTGTCTGTATTAAGATATTTCTAGCAAAGACAATGTAACATTTTAATGATTCCATTTCAGTAAATCACCGTTATAAGCACCATATTGACATATGAAAACCTCTTACTATGAGAGCAAAGTAACATTTTCTAAGGGAAACAATTTTGAATGGCTAGAACCTTTTTTGTCAGCATTGTCGGCAACGCCAATAACATTAACGCATTGCAAACATCAATTACTTAAGCTGCAACAATTCATGCTCACATCAACAACAATTTTGAAAACTAGTTTCGTAATCAACTTTTCGTTTGAAATATTAAAAACCAAGTTTATTTGAAACATTTTAAAATGACATTGACCACAAAAAATAAAGTCTATTTGACAGCAACAACATTAACGTCAACAAAAACTTAACCAAGTTTCAACAAAAAGAAAAACAACACTAAATAAATAATAAAGCGCTATAATTAATGATTACATAAACATCTGTGACAACAACAACAATATTTGATGCAACGACATAGCAACAACCTCTAAAACATTAATGACATCAACAAGAACAACATTATCAACAACGAGATCAACAACAACAACTATAAATCACAATTTTTTTAAATGGGACTGCCAGCAATACTTGTTCGGATTATTTAACGTATGCTTTCCTCAACTTTCTTTAGTGTTGTTGTTGTTGCTGTTGTTGTTGCTGTTGTTGTTGTTGTTTTTGGTTGTCGTTGTTGTTGTTGTGTGGATGTTTTCATCCAAATTTACTGCTGTTTTACATGTCTTTTCTGTAATTTTTACTGCAAAGTCAGCGGTTTCGACTGCCCAGCCTACAGGCATTAATGTTGATGTCTTGGTTGACAGCTATCTCAATGGCATTTGGTTGTTTTTGCTGGTTGTTTGTTTTGTAGTTATTTTTCTTGAATTAAAATGAATGATTTTTTTTCAGTTGTATCTATGTTGTTGTTTTATAATTGTTTGTTTTATATTTTTAAATTATGTATTCTATCGTTAGCGAGAATTTTTGGTTTTAAACTCACAACACACGAATTTTGTTTCAACCACACTTACACACACACACACACACACACGCACACGCACGCACACACACATACGCACACGCACACATGCATACACATTACACACACACACACACAAAAACACACACACAAACGAACTTGGTCTGCATAAAACAACGCATGCTAATTCTCTATCTGCCAATCACATCTGAATAGTTTAGTAACTATACAGAATTAAGTTTTTTTATAGTAATTTTACCGTTAAAAAAAGGTAAAACTGGTAAGGGTTGCTAGTAAAACCTCTATAGCATACTTATAGTATGCAGTAGTGGTAGTATAGTGGTGTATAGTGTATATTGATTCTACCATATTATATAGCAAAAATTTTGTTCTGCTGAGTTTACAAGTTGCAGAAGAAGGAGTGAGAAGTGAGTAGTAACGTGTTTGTTGTTGAATTCTGCATTGAATTGTGTTAGGTTAGTGGTGTCATGTTACAAGCCACTGTTAATTTATGTGTGGTGAAATTTAGTCGAACGAAAAAGATGTAGATGAATGAAGTAATGGAATGAGTGAGTTTGAAGAGAGGATGGAGGAATTTAAAACGAATGAAGGATAGTAGGAGAAAAGAGCTGAAATGGAAAAAAAGAAAACAGTGAGAAAAAGAATAAAGTGAGAAAAGAAGAAGCGAGGTAGGTGCCAAGCAAAAAAGAAAACGAAAGAGTAAAATTAAGGGGAAATAATTGAAGAGAGATAAAACATTTTGGAGGAAAGAAAAAATATCAAAAAGAAATAAGAATAAAAAAGATTTAAAAAAACTGGTGAAAAAATTGTAGAAAAAAACAAAGAGAAAG